CATCCCCACACAGCTGATGATGCCCGAACGTGGATGAAGCTCAATGACCATGCCTATGCCATGACCATGTGCAAGCTCAAAAAGGTCACCTTTCAAGTCACTGCTGCGGTGCGTGATGAAGATGCCAAGCACTACATGATGCTGGCAGAACGAGCAGCCCGAACATATACGGTTGAAGGTCTAACTGCCTTGTGGCGTCAGATCAAAGCTGTTCTTCCCAAGCATCGCCTCCGACGATCTGTTCAAAGATATGATCTTGGTGAAGCTATGCTTCAGCACTTCGAACAATTAGAGGCCGGCACAACGTTCCCTGTGCAAGAGATTCGCAAGCGTTGCTTGTCTCGAAATGCCAGCAATGTTGCCAAGCAACCACCAGTCACCTATGTTGACCTGAGTGAACTGCCTACTCTAGCTGAAACAGAAGATCTATGCCTTCGCCAAAGCCCCAACAAGGCGCCAGGCCATGATGGCCTTTCGTCCAATGTCTGTCGCTATGGAGCAGCAGCCCTTTCACCGCATCTTCATGGAGTCATGCTTAAAGCCTTCCTCTCGGCCATGGAACCATGTCGATACAAAGGTGGTTTCCTTGTCCCAATATGGAAGCAGAAAGGACCTCAAACCCAAGCTGCCTCTTATCGTGGAATTCTCCTGAGTGAGTCGTATGGGAAGGTCTACCACGCGTGGCTTAGACGTCGCCTGCTTCCAACCATGCTTCAACGGCGAGCCTTGGGCCAGCTGGGTGGTCTTCCGTCGCAGCAGACGGCATCAGGAATTCAAATGCTCCGCCTGCACGGTCGATTGGGGCGAGCCCACAAGATTTCCACTGCAGTGATATTCGTGGATCTCAGATCTGCCTTTCACCATCTCCTGCGTGAGTTTGTTTTCAATGATGACTCCCCGATGAGTTTTGATGAATTGGGCAGGGTCTTAGACCCCATGGACTTTGACCTCACGACCCTTGCAGCTGAGCTTTGCAGTGCTACCCAGCAGATACCAACGGATGTTCCTCCAGCCCTGCGTCGGTGTCTTGCAGACGTCCACCGACATACATGGTTTCAGCTTCAACATCATGACGATGTGATGACAGAAACCCGACGTGGCACGCGCCCAGGCTCACCTTTGGCTGACATTGGTTTCAATTTGCTGATGGCTGATTTGGTGAAGCAGCTGCATGAGCAACTCCTGCAATGCCAGGTCTACTGCCAAGGCCAAGCAGCTTTAGGTTTGCAAGTTCCTCCCATCACATGGGTTGATGATTTAGCGGTGCCCATGGCAACAAATCAACCGGATCAACTCAAGCCCTTGGTCCAGGAGGTGACATCAACATTGCATACCTTGTTTCTGCGGTATGGCCTCTCCCTCAACATGCAGAAAGGAAAGACTGAAGCGGTGATGATGTTTCGAGGAAAGAATGCGAACCGCTGTCGATCAGCGTTGTTCGATGCTGACTCTCCACCCACTTTGGTCTCCGCTACTTCCACACATGTGCTGTCGATCCGAGTGGTCCCTTCATATCGTCATTTGGGTGCCCGCTACACCATGGATCTTGACATTGACGAGGAGATCAACAACAGGATTGGGATGGCAAAGCAAGCCTATGCTGAACTCAAGCGAGCAATTTTCAGCAACCGTGCTCTTGCTGCCACTGCTCGTGTCCAACTCTATGAGAGCCTAGTCCTGACCAGACTGCTGTATGGATGCTCGGTGTGGAGTGATGTCCCTGCACCGCTTGTCAAGCAGATTGAAACCATGATCATCAAGCATCACCGTAGCATCTACAACTGTGGTTTTTGGACAGATGATGGCATTTCAGATGAAGCTTTCATTGCGACGAATCAAGTTATGCCTTTTCGCTTGCATTGGGCGCGACATCGACTTGTCTATCTTCAGCATATTGCGCGACATGGCCTGCCTGTTCAAATCCAGCTTCTTCTTGCTGAGTATGCTACTGGTAAAGGATGGCTCCACGAGGTCTCCCGAGAACTTGCATGGATGGCTACGTTGGTTGAACTGCCCTTCGAGCTGCCAACTACTGCAACAATGTGGCAAGACCTTTGGCCTGTCCTAGCTGCTTGGAAGCCTTGGAAGCCGGCGGTCCGACGTGCATGCAAGAAACACCTCCTACAGGAAAAGCTAGCATGGGAAGTCAAGAGCTATCACACCAGCATTGTGCGGGAATTGGAACTTCATGGTGGAGAAATTGGAAGTGAGCAAGCAGTCCTTGAGGAGAATGTGGCTTCCTTTCACTGCCATGCTTGCACACACAGTTTTCCTACATATCAGCAGCTTGCTCTTCATGCCTTTCGTCAACATGGGGTGGTTGCACAAGAACGCCATTATGTGCAATCCACTGTATGTCCTGGATGCTTGAGGGATTACCACACCACATTCCGTGTGACGCAAAACATCTTCGTTATCGACGCAATGGATGCTGGGACCGCACCTACATGGCACGTTCCCCCGATGAGCCGGTCACCATTGATCTGCCGGAACACCTTCGTAAGGTTAAGCGTCTCCCCGCTGTTCGACGACATCTTGGCCCATTGCGCCCCACAAGCATCCAACGAATGCGCATCAAGCTGCGACAAGACATCATTGCCCTCCGTGCTGAAGGTAAACCTGAGTTTGCCTGGTGGTATCCCAATGATGAGGAGCTGATTGTCCAGCATGCGAATGTGGCTCTTCGTGAGGCGCTCCTTGAGTGGACCCGTATGGACTGTCCCAATGAGGTGGACTTCCAGAACCTTATGTTTGGTGCTCTCTTCACCTTGGAGGTTGAGGATCCGCAGAGGTGCCGACTTTTCATGCATTGGGTTGAGAAGCACATGTACGACGACTGCCCTGCCGACATGGACCCTGATCATGCCATTCTTTTGGAGCGAGCCTATGTGAGTATGTTGGAAGATCTCCCGACTTGGCAGATTCGGCAGAAGATGAAGGAGCTCACTGATCGATGGATGCACTTGCCTCCTGATTATCCGGACTTTGGACCACCTTCCACTCCGGTTACCAGGCGGCCCTATGATCGAGTTCATTGCATTCCCTCGGAATATCAGATGATGGCCTCTGCTGAGATGACAAGACGAGGATGGGTCTTTCACACAAAACCATCTATGCGATCGGTCTCACAAGTTGGTCCCTACTACCTTGTTCATTTATATTCGGGCAGACGACGGGATCAAGATTTTCAATTCTGGATGGAGAAGTACCTCAATGAGCACCACCCTAGCCTTTGTGGATGCACCTATGTCCTTTCGATTGACACGGCGATCCACCATACCATGAACATCCACAGCCCCGCTTTGTGGAATCATCTTCTGGACTATGCGCGGGCTGGGCGGCTACTCGCCATCCTGCTTGGACCACCGTGCGAGACATGGTCTGCGGCCAGATGTCACTCCCTGCCAGAAGGAGAGCGGAAGGGTCCTCGTCCATTAAGGACGGCAGAGGAGCTGTGGGGTTTGCCACTCCGGACAATGGCTGAGCTATTGCAGCTTAGTGTGGGCAATTGCTTGCTTCTGAAGGGGATCTGGCTCTCAGTTGCAGTCACCTACCACTCTGGCTCCGCTGCGCTTGAGCATCCTGCCATGCCGTATGACGAGGAGCTCCCCTCCATATGGAGGAGTGGCGTACTACGTCTTCTACTCCGTGGTGGCGCCCCATTTCGCAGAGTGACGATCCACCAATGGCGCTTCGGTGCTGAGGGCGTGAAGCCCACCATGCTTTCGTACAGCAACGGGTCTTTACCCTCTGCCTTGCAGCGCTGTGAGATTCCAGATGCCATTAAGCCCACAGTGGCCTTGCTTGGCCGTGACGAGGAGGGACGCTTTGCAGCGCTGTGAGATTCCAGATGCCATTAAGCCCACAGTGGCCTTGCTTGGCCGTGACGAGGAGGGACGCTTTCGAACCGCAAAGGCGAAAGAGCACCCGAGCGCGCTGTCCAAAGCTTTTGCCCTTTTCTTCAGCGATCGGCTGACACGCCTTAACATTAAAGGCTGTCCACAAGAGGCCGACGCTGAAATTTTTGATTTTGTGGCACTTGCGGCCTGCTTGGATAGCGGCAGCATGATGCCTGATTACCAGCCAGTGTGAGGACTTCCACAGGCTTGCACGTACAGGCACGAGCTCGACTCATCTGCCGAGGAAAAGAAAAATACATATCTACATATATATATATATATATATGTATATATATATATGTATGTATATATATATATGTATGTATATATATATGTATATATATAAGATGAGAAGCTTGTTTGCCTAGGATTGGTACTTGTATCAGTTTCCCAAGCCACGGGGACCCCACGTTAACATCCAAATTTGTCATTTTTGAACATTGCTTGAATATCATTGAATCTTCAAACTGGGGATGCAACAAAGTTCTCAGATGATGAAGCCCAAAACACATGGGATTGTCGGGAACAAAAGCCATATCACATTGCTGATTGGCCATATCCGGTTATAATACCAGTGAATCCTTATTGTCTTACTTCTCCATAGTATAGTTCAATAGTGGAAACTCATATTGTATCCCACTATATATCTCGTTACATATCTGGTTAATCCACTGACATATTATGTGTGTATTGTATATATATATATGGATATAATATATATATATGTGTATATTATCGAAATATGTATATATATATATGTATATTATCGAAATATATATATATATATCATTACATACATCAACATGACAATATAGCGGTTGTAGTATTCAAAAACCCCTGTCATCCCTTTTTTCTACTGGTTGAGAATGGGATTCCCAGAAAAAACGTGGCTTAGAAAGTCCCGGATTGAACCTTGGTTTTCGTGATCCCCCAAAAACTAGGAAACCTCCATGTGGCTATGAGTCGAAACCCTGGGGATTCTAGGTACCCCAAATAGCTGGCTAATGGATGTTTATTCCCCAAACATCCCCAAACGATGGTGACCATAGATTTTGAACCATAACCATCCATAACCCACATCAAAAATATCTCCGCGTCGGCCTCAGTATCCATCTCACTCAACTCTTCCTCAGCACCTGGACCGACGCAAAGGAATTTCACCAAATATCACCAGATGTTTTCATAGCACAACCCCCACCAAAAAAAAAAGAAAAGGTGAAATGTCCCACTATTTTAGAAGGATTTGACCAACTTCTATCTTTTTGGCGGGTGCCGTAAATCACCATGTGTTCTTTTGTAGGTTTACAGTATCTCATACGTTTTTTTAAAGGTACATATCAAAATGTGATCACTAGGTGTTCTTTATACGTACGTAAATCTATCAGTAGTTCTGTTTCATGCTAATCTTCGTCTGTATAAACCTCTCTGGTTTGTTTGTTCCGTGTTCATCTATGTATAGGTAACTTGTGGCTTTGTTTTTTCATGATCATGTTTAACGGCGGGGAAATCCATTTTGAATGGACAAAGTAGTCCAAGCCAGTGGATATGCATAGATTCTCCATGGTAAATTGTCCATCCCATGGTTGTCCATCAGTACTCCACTTAGATTTAATCTCCGGTTTCGGAACTGGAACATGGCGAACATGGCGAACATTTGCCAGCAATACTTCGATGATAAAAACGGTTTTCAAACATGGCAAAACAACCATCCTCCGATCTGAGAAATTCAACAACTGGTGATGGTTCATGGTGATTCGGTTCTTGAAAAATCCCTCATTTTTGGGATGCACGAGTTCTGGTGGGGTCATGTGGCTGCCACTGAAACAACTATGTCACACGTAGAGAACCAACCAGAAGTTAGGATGTAAGTAGCCACATCAGGCATTCCTGGATGTTTAGTTCAATGGAAGTCCATGAAGATTTCATAAAGGCCACCCTGTGAAGAATAGAAGGCTTGAAATTCTCCCTTATTGTTATGGTTGGTCGTTAAATTGTCGTTAAACAGGCGACCTATCCAGAAAGCCAAACATTGAGCAGGGTCGCCTGATGGTTGAATCCCCATGCCTCACCAATTTGAGCAGTGCGGACATCAAGGGTAGGTTGATAGCCCTCGAAAAAAAAACGACCATCATTTATGTATCAATTTCAATTCAATTTCCCCATATGTTTGATGGTATTATCCCCAATCCACATTAAACCACTAGTACACTAGTCAAACAGATTTGTTTCACCTGCTCGTGAGCCTACAATTGTTGGGGGATCATGTTGGAACCTGGGGTTCAATCCCGAACAGCATGCATGAGGGGCTAGCGCCTTGGTGAATTGGGTCATCAACAAGGTTGTATTGGGTTATCACATGTTATCACCATGGAATTTGACTTCAAATGATCACCCCAAAATTGTTGTTGTGAAATCCCTGTTTCCACATTGTTCCACCCCTTCCAATGGCATCATCCGAAGATCTTCGAAAATCTGAGCACCGCACCTTCCGCCACCGCCTCGCGCGCGAAGCGCGCACTCTCGGTGCAGCGTTGGAGCAGTCGGCAGCAGGCGGCTTCGGCCTGCAGGGGCCATGGTATCCAACTCTTGACCGTGGCATATATATGGACATCCCCCGCTTAGATGATATGAATGGATTATACATCTGTATACATATATATATATTATATATATACATATATATATTATATATATACATATATATATACATATATATATATACATATATATATAATAGAACATATAAGTGATAAACCACTTGCTAAGTGGGATGCACATCCACGTAGTACGGTTCACAAGTGATTCCGGCCTCTGGAACCATTGGCTTCGACAGCTCAAGGAGGAGGCCTTCCACTTCCTAGCAATGGCAAGATGGCTGCAAAGCCAAAGGTGGGGAAGAAACCACGTGGGTTTCTATGCAGGTTTTGTAGTTTTATATGATTTTTGATGGCATATTGATGTATCAAATTATATGTGTTTATATCAAATTTCGTATTTTGTAGTTTTATGTAGTTTTATATGTTTTTTTAAATATTGATATAATACTATGGGTTGTTACGACGTTGGAAATTGAATGACTTGTCCAGGTTAAGATATGCATGGGGATACAATGGGGGTTATGGCATGGGAAATGCAACCATGTAATGCGATGATAATGGGATACCTGATGGGATTTGGCCTAACCATAGAGGATCCTGAAGAATTGCTGTTTCTCCAGAGCTTCCCCACTTCAGCCTAGATCCCCCACAGTAACTACAGTAACTCTGACTTGGTTCATCTGAAAATCGGGTATACACCCCAGCAACCAGGCCTGGGAGAGCAACGGAGCACGGCGCTTCAGCGTTAGCAAGGCCTCCAACCCCTGGTGCGGGCGGCCCTGGAGTTTGACCTGCCAAAAATTGGGATTTGTGCCAACAGAAATGGGAAGTTTACCGACAAAAATTGGGATTTCATGAGTTTTGGGAAAAGATTGTTCCAAATTACACCCTGTGTTCGCAATTTTTCCTGGAAAGTAATCTTCCAACGAATTTGGCGTCATTAGCACAGTTTCGACAAACCAAAAATGCCGTGGATTGATGGATGCACCTTTCGAAGGCTGTATACCCCAAGTCTCATATGGGTATGGATCAATACCTATTGATACCATTTTCAGGGGAATGAACATCCATAAATCCCAGCTATTTTGATGTGAACTACAGGGGTACTATTGGTTTTGACACACTGCCATATGGGATTTTTCATGAGTCCATCCTGGTTTTGGGGGATGTCCCCACAGTGGTTTTCATGAAAAATCCCATGAGTTGAATAGGATGGTTCTAGATCCAAGACTCGGAGCAATGGCTAGGACGCTGATGATATCATGTATACACACAACTAAACAAAATCACAGTAATGTTAGTGTGTATATATGTTATTAATAATGTTAGTACTGTTGTATATACTTTAATATTACTAATGTTAGTAATGTTCATGTTATAGACCAGCAATGTCATAGACCAGCCATGTTTAAGTAATGTTTATATCAGGTATCAGCCATGGTAAGTCATTGAGCTGGTCCATCGTGGATCGTCCCAAGGTCTCGTGCGTAGAGCTCCGAGATCTCCTTCAATTCACATATCTATTCCTTCTCAAATAGGAAGTTTCCCCCCTCCAAAATTGGGACATTATAGGCTCCAAAATGTAGGATATCATTTGATATCAAGCATTAAACCCACAAGTTTGGCCAAATTTATTTGTACTCTCCAGTAATTTAACATAGCTATGGAAGCCATCGCCCATTTAGTTCGATGTTTTGCCGATTGAAAGCGCTGATTCCCAGGTTGGTTTCACTGTCTTACCATTGATTAGTGAAAAAAATGACTGTTATCGCTGAAATAACCTCATGATATCCCGACTATTACCACACGTCATATTCTATCATCGATGTAAAACAAAAAAAGAAAAAACTTACTATGATATATATATATATATATTGTACCAGCACTATTCTACCATCATTAAGTATATCCCATGTGTATATATATATATACATACATTCATACATATATGGTCTATGGTCATCCATCCCTGGGATTCTCTCAACGGTTGCCTCCATGGCCGCTGGCCGCGGCCGCGGCGAAACAAAGGGTGAACGACCACGGCCTCACCGAGATGACTCGCTGTGGTTAAGCCATGGGAGTTGGCCATGCCAAACGCATGAAACACATGGGTTTTAATAGGATTTCATGGTGATTTAATGTGATTTAACCAGAATCTAATGTGATTTAACCAGAATTTAATGGTGATTTAATGTGATTTAATCGGTGTTCATGGGATTTTTCATGGGTTTGTTTAATTGGATTTAATGATATTTTTAAAATGGATAATCAAACATGGCTGGAAAATCCCTGAAACGAATGGAGGTGTAGAGCTGAGAAAATCATCGAACTAGTGCTGGGCGTTTTCTCCCATGTTTCATCCTTTGGGCGAGATGAAACATATATATTCAAGATAGGATATAGACCCAACTAACCAATAGGATATTAGGTGATATAACAAATAGGATATGTTCAATAGGATATTTCAATAGGATATTTCATGGAGATTTTCAATAGGATATTTCATGGGACATTAGGTGATATAACAAACCAACTTGATATGATAGTTGGGTCTGTCTGAAAATGGGGTATACCATGGTATACCAACTTGAATGCCTATTGAAATAGAGAAACTGATCGTCAACTCAAATTTGGGAGTACCCCATTTTTCAACAAGCCCAAATAGTTCCCTTCAAAACGAATTCTGGGGAGGGTTTGTTTGAGACCATGGGCAGTGAGTAACCTTCTCAATCATTAGTCCTTTGCATATCTGCTAAGAGCATCCCTATTTTTGACCAATGGGCATGTTCTAAATTGTGCCTTGGGAAACCGCCCCCAGAGAACTCATGTATCACTGTTCCGCTTCAGTCTGGGACGAAGAATTCTCTGAAGCAAAATGCAAAGAGACGATCGGTCGTGAATGAGTCATAGTAATCATAGTAGCTAAGGTAGAATGTTGAAACATTAGAGGATGAGTTTGTCTGACAATAGGGTACCCCAAAATCCACGGGTTAATCATTATGTTCATTTCTTCTCCCTATTGAATGGCCGTGAAATCGCTCATGAGCATCAGCACTGACGATCATGGTTTGGCCCCAGATTGTCAACTTCTTGGTTTTCTTGGTTAAAGCAGTATTCCAATCCACAAACTACAATTCATCATGTTCATTACTTTTTTGGTGAAAAACGCCCATTCAAAAGTCATGCCGTGGCACCCTGAAAAGTCCCCTGCACCCTCCAGCGACCTGGCTGTGACTCCTCTGACCTAGGCGCGGTGAAGCAACATATAAGGGGATATGATCAACAAGACTGAGCATATCTCAAAAACATAAGATGTTGTTTGGTATTTTTTGGGATCCAAAACCTACATCCCAAATGTTTTTTGGATTTCTTGGGAGATGCAACCACAGTCACATACAAGTAAGATAAAACAAACTTCATGTGGATAAAACAAACCGAATATCTGATTTCACCGACCAAAATGTGGATGAAATTGATTCAATCAATTAACAAACCTGGTGAAGTAAGCAAAGACATGGTGATGCGCCTTTGTTCCAAAATGGGATACTCCATTCTATCCAGTGGTTCATCATGCTTTCCCCTGTGGAAATTGCTCGGGGTTTACGGTGCACCACGACCAATCCTGTTGAAAAACAAGCACCTGATTGAACTGGTGCAACCAACAAACATGACCAAACATTAGCGGGAAGCAGCTGACTGTTTGGGTAAGAACACAGCCACAGAATCATGATGGGATTTTACCTCAATCCTAATGGGAATGTTTGAAATAATGGGATATGATGGGATATAATGTTAGGGATATAATGGGAGTTGTTGAATAGCGGGCTTAATCAAGCATTAAGGGGAAGGGGATCAAATTCGATAAATAATCAACAATAGTTTGTCCAGAAATGGGAAAATGCCACTGCTACTAAATAGTCGTAAATTACGGTTCTATCTTTTTGGTGGGTACTACAGTATATGTTTAAACAACAAGTCAATAGTGTATGGGCATCTCTGCATAACCGTTAAAAACAAAATGATTACGAGTCAGTGACCAAAATAAGCAAGTGCTTACAGTAGTTGTTGCGCACCCCCATAGTCGGACCAAAATGATCTCGCATCTCAATTTGCCATAGTTAAGCTGTACCTGGGGTGCATCTGGGAGTGGAAGGTTCTTCTAGGGGGTGTTTAACTATGTTTAACTTCCAGGCAGTCAAAGCCCGTAGACCTATCCTAAAATAATCAATCTTATCATGTAATGTATCACAATAATCATCATAAGTTCCCAGGCCAAACTTCTTTGATTTGACTTCTTGGCCCTTGGCGCTTCGCACACTTCCCACCCTGCCCTTCGAGGCCACAGGCAGGTTGACATCGGGGGAGGAAGTGGTGGCCTGATCATCCATGGCTGTCTACTCTCCGCTATTGAAACGTGGCTGCGAAACCCCCAAACGTTGGATTTTTGATGGGAAAAAAACATGGAAAAATAGAGGGTGTTTATGTTTTTTCTGCAAAAAATGTGTGGAAATCGTCTATGGATGGTGTTTTGTAATTTTCAAACTCCCACATGTGTTCAAGGGAAACAAGAAATATTGGAAACCATCAACATGCAATGGGTGGTATAGAAAAACATATCGTAGTTTTGGGCTTAAAATCGAGCGCTTGCAGATCAATAGTTGAATCCGCTGCGGTGGGGATCTATTTTGAAAAATGTGGATGTATATTACAGATGCATATAGAATGATAGCAATAATAAAAGATAGTGAAACAAGATTTATAATGATGAGTATTAGTAATGACAATAATGACACTAACGATGATTTTGATGATAATGATAGTAATAATGAGAAATATATGTGCATTATATTTTACATGTATATATATATGATATATGTGTGTGTGTGTTGCCAGACCATTTTGGATCGCACTTCTAGCGTCGCCCCTCCGCCTTTTTCATGCCTTCATCGCTCCAGCCCAATCGGCCAGAGGTGGCCAAACATTAAAACACGAAAGGTGTAGGTCGCTACCAATCATAGCATAAAGACGCGGATTTCTCAGAGTAGAACCTCAGGATCAGTATCTCAGGATCAGGATTGGCTTTGTGAAGGAAAATCGACTGACCGAAAACCATGATCTTTACATCCATGATATCCATGTGATCAGGGTTTCCTGCAACATGTTCCCTCAAACCAATCCACTGACAGGAAGACAAGTATGGAATGGAGATGGGCCGATATCGATGCAACATGGGTACCAACAGCCCAGAATTTCTGATGGCCAACCCTTCAATTTTAAGGTGAGGAAACTAGGAGCCATTACCCAAATCTAACACGCACAGAGCCCCTCAAACAATTGCTCTCTTTCTGGGGAGAAGAGTCCATATTTCGGGGACCTGGCGAATGTAGGTTGAAGCTAAGAAAGGCTCAAGCTTCGGCAGTTTCCTCATGCTGAACCCCCACCATCCACAGCACCGCGTGAATCAAGGCGCTGATCGTACCAGCGCATAAACTCCAAAAAGGCACCGTCGCCGGCAACCTGGGGGAGTTGAGCTGCGGTCATGGATGGGGTCCCAGATGTGAAGGGAAGAGGTGTTTGCAATGCAGGGACCATTTCTTTCGGTTGGCACCATTTACACCTATTTACTCAGAATGCCATTGGTATTTTTTGAAAAGTGGAGGTCACCCCTCTTTTCACAGCAACATGGCCCATTCGTATTTCGACTCCACAAAAAACACGGCGCAACGTTCCGATTGCGCATCCGCAGCACCCATCCGCAGGTGCGGAAGAAGCGCCCAGGCACAAGCACCGGCTTCTTGTGGTACACCTTGTTCTCCCAGACCTGCCATGCAGAGGCTTGGAGCCGATTTCCAAGTCATCCGATGTTCGCTTCGTTGCAAAGTCTCCATCCACATCCATCGTACTCAATGACTATCCATCATTTTCCATCATTATCCATCACTATCCATCATTTTCCATCATAGTTTTTCAATCATCTGGCTGAATGTTGTGCACTTCACCATGAATTTCATATATAGTCACTTTGGGATGATGGGGCCCCAATCCAGGTCTCCGACTCCGGGTGGCCCATAGCTGAAACCACATTAACCTAGATTCAACTATGACATTAGCATATATCAACCCATATCAATCTATATACAGACGCTAATGATTAAGCTACCTTTCACTGGTCCGTCAGATCCCCACCTCGCGGTCTTGTTCCAAAGCGCGGCCTCCGATGCAAGCCAAAGCACATGCAATGAGGCCTGAAGCGGGCTTTCACGTGGGGATCTATGAACCATTTTATTTGGCAGACACTCGGGCTCACATCCATGGTTGTTTCTTCGGCTAAAATCATCTGCAAATGGGGATTTTTGTCCATATCCATGCTTATTTTCATGGGATATTTCGATATAACATGATATAACGATGGGACATTGTGGGTGCAAAATAATAGTGGGGACGGGATAGCGTTAGATAGATATATATATATATATATTTAGATTTAGAATTAGAATTAGAATTAGATAGATAGACAGATAGATAGATAGATAGATAGAAATACCATGCAACCACAATTGACAATTTTATGGCAATGTTTCATGCGAGGTCATAACATATGTGATGATGTGGCTTGATCCACAAGGGGGGCCATCCACCAATGCATGGCCATCAAATGAGGCATGGCAGGGGTGCCCTATTTTCAGACAAACCTAAATTGATCATGTCCAGTGAGTTACAATATACATCAATATACCCTTATAAGGCCCTTATACCAACTATATACCAACTATATACCAACTATACCTCATCAAATCTCATGAAAGCTATGTTGATTTCAGAGAAAGCCCAGACCTGAGAGATCTGGCTGAGGCCGTGACCAATCTTGCAACTGGTGGTTTCAGCCCTGTTTTTGTTCAAAAAAAATGTTCCTTCTCCAGTCTATATAAATATGTAAATACAATCAATCATAAACATACATAATAATAAATATGACTTCAAAATATAAATGTAAACATAGATAATTGCAGATACAAATAAAACTAGTATAGGCAAATGAATACATATAAAACAATATAAATCATATAAATATGTAAAGAGAGAGGACAAATCATGTATTGATGCCACCAGTCCACCTTAAATGTCTGCATCACTCCAAAAAACAGAACATCCCCATCTGCGAGTGGCGTGGAACGCTCCTTTCGGCATACCATCTGGCTTCCACGTATTGTTTGAAGGGCTCAATCGGCAGAATGGTCTTCACCTCACATCCGTCCAAGGGACAAGGCAGGACGGTGAAATCTTCATTCCAATGGTGGCTTAATATGATGTAACCATCAGTGAAACTGTGGATGTAGACGTTTGTACATGTGACATATATATATACTACTATATATATGTATATATATATTATACATGTGTTCATGTATAACTAATATACTGTAAGATTAAGTACAATCATGTGTGCCCCTAAAATGAACAAAGCCAATACCAAGCCAGAATCGTTTCTGGATGGTTCGCCCCAAACTTTGACGCGGGGTCAAAACTGGGTTGTTGATACCTATGCAAACAATGGCTCTGATACTGGCAATGTAGCAGCAACAAATCCTTTGTCCTGTGTTGATCCGAACCAAAAAAAAAGGCTTGGAAATTATATCAGGATAGAATGGGAAAGGCCACCCCGATGACAGCACAAAAATATTGCAGCGGGTCATGCTGTTTTTTCTGCTCTGCTGAAGCTGGTTTCCATGTAACCAAAAAGAATGACAGTCTTGTGGTGGCGCACTAGGCCAGTCTTGCCAAGCTGAGCACAACAAGTTTGTTGGCGCCAGGGTT